ACATTTTAAAACGTATTGAAGAAGATCCAGAATTAAGCACCAGACGAATTGGAAGGGAACTAGGAGTAAGTAAAGATGTCGTTCATAAAGTGCTTAGAGAACAATTGCTATATCCATACCATAAGAAGCCAGTACAAGAATTATTAGTCCATGATCCTCAAATTCGTTTGGGTTTTTGTCGATTTGTTAATATGCAAAGAGAAAGAGATCCAAACTTTGTCAATAAGGTTCTCTTTACCGATGAAGCGGGTTTTACAAGAAGAGGTATAACTAATACCCATAATGAACATGTTTATGCCGTTGAAAATCCGCATGCAATAAAGGTAAACCATTTTCAGCACGAATTCAAAATTAATGTGTGGGCTGGAATAATTGGTAATTTCATTGTTGGTCCTGTCATACTTCCACGAAGATTAACTGGAGAAAATTATTTGGATTTTCTACAAAATACGTTGCCAGAATTGTTAGAAGATTTACCTCTCCAACTTCGGAGAGATATGTGGTTTATGCAAGATGGAGCTCCACCACATTTTTCTTTAAACGTTAGAAACCACTTGAATGAACAATATCCACACAAATGGGTAGGCAGAGGAATGACGCACCTGTAAACTGGCCACCACGTTCACCAGACCGTTAGGTGTTAACCGATGGATTACTTTTTATGGGGACATCTAAAATCCACAGTTTACAGGGAAATTGTAGAAAATGAGGAACAACTCTGGCAACGTATTCAAGATGCAATAAACAATCTTGGAGGTGATGAAGAAGTTCTGGAAAAATACATTTTAATTTTCTTCGACGTATAAATCTTTGTATGCGTGAAAATGGTGAACATTTTGAACAATTTTTGTAAAATCTCTATTTTGATTATGTTGTAAATAAATATTTTTGTGAAACCTATACACTCTAAATTATTAAAACAGAAATTTAGCGAAAACCATGAGAGTAATCGAGTCTTATCAAGAGTACCTTTTTTAAAGTAAATGAGTTGCGGAATCTAAATTTCATACTCAAACTCCTTTTCTTCCATTGGCGTAGAATTTTTAAAGGTGCAATTATTTAAAAAATGAAGTTCTACGCCTATGTATTATTATCGGACAAAATTTTATAACCATTTTTTTGTCACATAAAACTCTACCAATATACCAAATTTTAGCAAAATCGCATATGCCGTTTTAAATTTATATGGGAAAAACGATTTAAAAATTGTAACTTCAAGGCCCTCTGGAGCCCAAACGAAGCAACTTTGTACTAAGGTAATTTTACTTAAATCAACTTATTTTGGTCTAAGGAATATGTGGTACGTTTTTGTAAAGACCTTTTACAGACACCCTGTATATGATTTAAAGGGTATGTCTAAAGAAAATCTTTTAAAACATTGCAACGATCTAGAAAGTATCTTAACTCACGGTGATTCTGTTGTTATTAATGGGGTAGAATTAGCAGAATAAATGTGTGCAGTATCTGGGCTTGTGGGCAGAAAAGAAAGACCAGGCCCTGTTTTAAAATTAATAACAATGTTAAATTGTGCCCCAAACCTAAGTGTTTCATTAGGAGTATTGCTGTCTACACCAGTAACTGTTGCAAGTGGAGAAAGAAGTTTTTCCAAATTAAAGTTGATTAAGAACTTTTTACGTTCAACTACAACGCAAAATCGTCTTAATCAGTTGGTCAGTTTAGCGATTGCGCGTGAAATTGCTGATCAAGTTAACTTAAAATATGTAATAAAAACATTTGCGGAAATCAAAGTTAAAAAGAAAAATTTCTTTAAGAGGAGTATTTACTTGGCTTTAGAGCAGAGCATGCAAGGGTTTCGTAGTACCCCACTTTTAATGTTTATTTTTGAAATATTTTAAAAGAAAAAAATATGTGCGTGTAGGTAAAGGTTAAATCTGTGCTCCTCTGGAAACACTTTTTCAAAACTTCAATTTGTTTTTTCTAAAAAAAAAAACACAAAACTCGACTTTTTTAATCCATTTTCTCAATTTTTTTTAGAAAAAAACTAAATTGAATTTTAAAAAAGTGGTTCCCGAGGAGCATAGATTTAACCTTTATCTACACGTACATATTTTTTTCTTTTAAAAATACTTAAAAATAAACTTTAAAAGTGGAGTACTACGAAACCCTTACATTGCAAGATTTTTCGTCTGGCAAGTGTCGCCTCTTTTAGATTTTTAAGAAATTAATATTTGTGAATGAAAACAATATTTAACTGATGTTTTACGAGGGATAATTAAAGTTTACGTATTTGTAGGTACACATTATTGTTTTACGTAAATCATTTCTGTAATACTAATATAGACATATTTATATTATGCAATGGGTTTCATAATACACCAATTTTACGGATTATTTTTTATTTTTTGAAAAATTATGTAAGTACAGGTAAAGGAGTCACTTTTTGAACATTTGAATCGGTTTATTTTGAGAAAATGTAAGAAGATATCTTTCTATCGAAAAAAAAAACACAAATAAAAATGATAGAAGAGAACAATATATGTTTTTAATTTTTACAGGAACATTTATTTTTCTCAATAAAAATTAAAAAATACGTTAAAAGCTTTTCCGTCTAGAGGGTGACACCAACAAAATGTATATCCTTTTCTACTGTTAATAGTGATAAACGTACGCAAGTGATTTGAATTTATTTTGTTTTATGTCTGTACACTTTGTTATTTTTACATACAGTAATTATTTTAAATTAACTTTATCATTTATTTATTAAAAACATATATCCGAAATTAAAAGGTATACAATGAGATTTGAATTATAAATTAACTTTTATATTGCACGGGAATTTTTTTTAATGAATGCATCTTCGAGTTAAGAATAATGAATTCCAGCATGTTAACAACTCTTTAAGCTGTTGAAGTAATGTATATTTTTTCGAACTTGGTAAATCATTTTTTTTGCTTTTGAGCGTGGCTTTGATCTCTCACACTCTTTGATGCGCGTTGCAAGAGAAGATTTTCTAAAAAGTTTGATAATTGATAATGTCTATAGATGAGAAAAAAAGGAATGTGACAAGCGATCAAGCTGATTGTGGATTGTAGCAAAATGTAAGACGAAAACGAGTCATTGTTTCAAAATTTGGAGACAATTGTAAAAAAAGGAAAGGCATTTTTTAAACAATCTCATAATCTTTTATTTTTTGCTAAAGCCTTTTAATATGACATGGAAAATAAATCTAGAGGAAAATAAGATTTGGAAATTTATTAGCAAGAAAAAGTTTTTATATGTGGACTTTTATTGATTCCGAATTTGATTATGTTCCTGCCAGTCCAGATGGAATTTAAAACAAAAAACTCTATGATAGAGTTAAAATGTCCATATGAAGCTAGAGTGTTGACTGAAGAAAAAGGAATATGCAGTAGAAAAATAACTTTCTGGAAAAAGGATAATACCATTAAGGGGAACCACAATCGGTACTTTCAAATTCAGGGCTAGCTGCACATTCCACAAATGAATTTTTGCATTTTGTGCGTTTGGACTTCTCGAGAAATAAAAGTGGAGGAAATTCGAAGAAAAGGTGCAAAATAAAATTCAAAATTATTATATGCAATATGCCTTACCAGAACTAGTTGACAGCAGAGCTAATAGAGACATGGAAGTACGGGACAGAATGCCAAAAAAATGGTGAGTTTAACAGTACGGGTTTTTTATGAATTTGTTCTAGAAGCTGTACCTCATTATAACAGATTATTCAAACAATAAAAATAATTTTTGTTGAAATATAAATAATAATAATAATATGCTGAAACATTATATCTGATCGCTACATATTATAAAACCGAAGATACCTTTTCATTTAACCAACTCACACATGGCTACTCCAAGTTTAAATATTATAAATCCGCTTGAATATAAAAAATAACAGATATAGAAAATATTTTTTAAAAACCTAGTTTATTTAAAAATATAAAATGTCATGAGACCGTTTATTGTTTTTTTACATTGGCCTCCTGTTTTTGTTACTTTGACTTTTGGTATCGAGGACTTATTATTATGTGATATAGAAGGGAATGTATTGCTAAACTATGGACGCTTTTCTACTCTTAATCAATTATTATTAGTAGAGTGTATGTATTAAAATATTCGCTCTAGAAAACGATTTACCCCTCTTTGTCACAAGCTGAATTTTTCAGAGATAAAAGGTCATGATAAGGTAACCCTTATTCCAGAGGTAACACAAAATTAGACTGTGCAGAAGGGCACTATCATCAAAAATCCAGATACTGATACCAACGAATAAAAAAAAATATTAATTTTTTGGTCCAATGCACAATAAAATCTTTGTAAGGAGTAATTTTTTATACTTATTTAAAAAAAATTTCAGCCCTTCAAAAATTTGTTTAAAAAGTCATTTTTTTAAATATAATTTTATCATTTAACAAAAAGGAAGGCCCTAATGAAAAACGTTGTAAGCTCTGTCTCTCTTTACGTTTCGGCTGATGCATCACATTATTGATATGCTCAAATTTTTTTCATTTTTTTATTATAAAACTTTTCGTAAAAAAACTGGTTCATGATAATTTTAGTTAAATGTAAATCAAATGGACTTTATGAACGCCTGTGTCATTAAAAAACAAACGCGAGACAATGGTAATCAAACATAGATTTAATATACTTTATGTTGCGCAATAAAAAATACTCCCTGTATATATATGGGGCGGCAAATTGTCTGTTTGTCCGGGGTGACATGAAGGCTAGAGCAGGCCCTAAATAATTGGCACATATTATTATAAACAACCATAAATAATGTTGACTGCTGGTATATAATTTTGACAAGAAAAAAATAAATAGCACGAAAATTCAATTTATTTAAAAAAAAATTAGAGAATAACTATTGTATTATTAAAATTTAACCGAAGTGTCCATATTTTTGTACTAAGTATATTATTATTCTAATAATATTTACATGACCTTATTCAATTTCAACAACTTCATAATTAAATTTAAAAACATAATAAAATAATTCTAAAAATGTTCGGGTCACTTACCTAATTTATTTTTTTATATCTTGTTTCCTTTAAATTATTATTACTATTTACACCGGTTTGTGTTGTAGACCGAATTTCCCGCAACTATAAACACGATGCACACGTGAAAAAAGCGACGAACGAGCAGTCTGTGACCGTTCAGTTACCCGCGTCAGATGTAGACTGGAGATATTTCAGAAAGTCGCACCGAGTAAGAGTATCTAACTACTGCGAACCGCGAATGCAAATAATAATAGGTTTTCAAATTTTCGCTTGTCTACGCATACACACGGGGTGCAAGTGATTTCGCTATTTCGAAAAAAATATATAAATAGAAAAGATTGTCGTATAGTCGAGTTTCAAAAAAAAAAAAGTCGCGGGAGATGTAAATCAGATATTACACATTTTTCTGTTGCTCCTCTTGACATTAATTATCAATTGCAGAATATAAAAACTCGTTCTGAACCCTTACTTTACCGACAATTTTGTTTGATCTGCCATAGGCGTAGATACCTACCTCATTTTATAAATTTATTATTTTTATAAATAGTTAAAAAAAAAGAAAATCGAATCATTATAAATTGGACGGTATAATACCCGAGAATAACGATCATAAGGAGAAGCGACAGCTTGGTGTTTTTAGTGTACCGTTTTGTAACGCGCATGTGCGAAAATAAGTTGTGTATTACTCAAAATTATGTTATCTGTCAAAGTCAGTCCAAGTTGTGTTTAGTAGATAGCCCTCAGAAGGTCTAGATCATAGACATCATATTATCTAAGATAGACTCGCCCTACACCGAGGGGCAAATCACTCCCACAATACGTGTACAAAATGTCCGCAATCCCATTGAAAATCGCCGCAGTCTCATCAAAATCAGTGACAATCGCTAAGAAATCGCCGCAGTCGTTCCGAATTCGCTCGCAGTCGTTCCGAATTCCCTTGCAATCCCCCGAATTCTCTAGCAGTCACTGAGCAATCACGAGCAATCGTTAAAAATCGCGCGCAATAAGGTGACATTAACCAATTAGCCATTGTTGATGTAGGGTGCTTTGATTAAGCCATCTAAACCATTTTGTGTAAAGAAATTGTAGTTTACATTTATCGAAAGGGTCCTTCCGTGCATTTTGAGACAAGAACTATTAAGTTAAATTTACATTTTGGAATTTGAAGGTTTTTTTAGGATAAATTTAGACACTAACAGCCGTATGCATAGTCGATCGCCAGCGACTCGCCAGCGATTCGCTGGCGATCCGCCGGCGAAAGCCCAAAAAGCTGGCGACTCGCCGGAGATTGTCACCGGAATGTCATTTCACGCAAGTTTTCATGTTCTTTTATAGGGAAAAATTTGATATTCGTTCATTATTTTTTGAGTTTTAAGAAATGAATCATGAATAAAATGGGAGAGATACCGGTGATAATCCCTATAAAAGAAAATAAAAACTTGCGTGAAATGACATTCCGGTGACAATCTCCGGCGAGACGCCACCTCTTTGGGCTTTCGCTGGCGGATCGCCAGCGAATCGCTGGCGAAACGCCGGAATGAATCTCTGGCGAGTCGCTGGCGATCGACTATGCATACGGCTGTTAATCTACTTGTATACAAGATTTTACAAGGTGATCGAAAATTGTCCCTTTTCATCTAGTTTTTTTTTTTAATGTATAACAAAATTGTTGGTATTTTATGGGGGTTGGGGTGATACACGTTTTAATTAGGGTTTTAAATGTATTTTTACTTTCCTATCTGTTTACAGATACGGAAAGTATAGGAATCATGATTTTTTCGACCTCGAATTTTCGTCGGTTTTTTATGTTTTGGGGTATCCTGAATCTGTTTTGACTATTTTCGCGATGATGTCTGTGTGTGTGTCTGTATTCTCGATAACTCATGAACGGATACAAAGAAAAACACTAAATTTTAAACTTAAGCTTTATTCCGGCGTCCAATTAGCTGATTAGATTTTGGGCAGAGTCGGAACATTTGGAGGGTACTTTATAGTCATCATTTTTATATTTTATGGAATATATCTGTTATTTACGTTTGGAGAAGAATTTTTTTCAAATAAAAGTTACTTACAATATTATTATCTATAACAAAATGTAAAAAAAAATATTTTTTTATAAAAATTGTTTAAATAAAAGTTGTTTGTAATATAATTCTCTATAATTTTTGCCCTATACATAATTTCTCTAAAATGGACCGTATTCGAGATATTTAAGAAAATGTGTAAATTTCGAATTTTAAAGAAAAATCAAAAACGGATAAAGTAAAAAAACATTAAATTTTAAACTTTTCCATATATGATATTGAAAAGAGCATTTTTTATGGATTGGAAGATCTTAATATAAAGGATTTTCGAAATTACTACACAAAAAGTGATTCTGATAACTCATTTTTAAACATAATTGTGAACAACAAAAAAATGAAGGTAAAAAAATCAGCTCTTTGTTGGTTATTTTCCACTGAAGACGGGCGCTTGTCAACTGACAGATTATCTCGTGTAAAAGGAACATCCTCAGCAGTACTAAATAACAAAAAAAAAAAACAAGTCCAGAAAAAACACAGCTAAAATACCAAATAACTACAATGACAAAGATGTAACAGAAAGTGAAAAAACTACCGGTGAAACCACTTTGCTCCAGAAAAATATCAATGGCATTTTAATTAGGAACGAACAATATTACGCAATTCTTTAAGAGTCGTGGTACATAGGTCGAATTGTTCAAATAATTGATGAAACCACTAGTAAAATAAAATTTTTAAAATCTGAACTTGAAGAATATTTATGGCCAAAAAAAGACGACATTCAAATTGTTAAAAATAAATTAATATTTTACGGACCCATCAATTCAATTGGATCTGGTCCATTTAAACTAGAAACAAACATCAATAAAATATGTAAACGTATAAAAAAACACTTTTATGAAATTTTTAAATAAAAAACCTCCAATTACTTAATTACTTAACTTGTTTTATTTACCTGTACCTATTTGTTCATTTAGGCATATCAAACTTATCTAATAATGGAGGCATGTAAGTACCTACGTAGAAGTTTATATTTCGGGTATCACATCAATTAAAACTGATCTTTTGAATGAATAAAAAACGTACAAAAAGTTGATTTATTGATAAATTTGTGGCACACACTTAGCACCTATAGCACCTATACATGCGCTATACAAAATTTAGTTTTTCTGATGAAACACCTAGCTAATGCTTTTTTTTACTGGAAACCAACTGGTAAGCCATACAATATCGTAGAAATCCTTCGGAATGCGTGCAATTTTGCAATAATACTGACAATCCATACGTACGAGTAAATCGCCGCAATCAATAGGGAAATTGCCGCAATCAATAGAGAAATCGTTGCAGTCAATACATAAATCACCGCAGTCACGGGAAATCTGTCGGAAGTCATCTAGAAATCGCCGCAGTCATCCAGAAATCGCCATATGATTGCGGAAATCATATGAATTCGGCAATACACGTACAATTTTACAAAGAGTGATTTGCCCCTCGCCCTACACACTGTATACTCAATACACCTTCTGTCCGCATGTTTTACCAGACGGGGAAAGGGGAATCGTACGTCGCACATTGACGTAGTGTTTCGGGAGGGTTTACATATATTTTTAGTAAAAATTATTTAATGACCAAATCAATAACCTATGGGTCTTCGGAATCAAAGGTAAATTTAAAGAAAACATATTCAATTTATACAGGGTATTCAAAAGTCATTTTATATTTTTTCTTATAGATTAAAATAGTAAGGTGGAAGTAAAGTGGAAGAACATGTTTGTTAGTATTTTATTATATATTTTTTAAATACATGAAGAGCAAAGAGCAAGTAAAAATATAAAGCCATTTATTATTATTTTTACATGGGTACTGTTTGAAAACCTTTATTACAGGTCGAAAAAAGAATAATTTATACAGGGTGTTAAAAAAAAAGTGTCACAAAATAAAACGGGGGGTAGTATGGTCCAAAATATGCAGAAAAGTCTTAATAAACATATGTCCGCAAATGAATGGTTTCAGAGATACGGAGTGTTTTGTGTTTTGTATCATTTTTTGATTATCTTTTTTCATTCTCAAAAACTTGCTCTTCTTATCGGAGTCTACCGATGTTTTTTCATAGATACTATTTGCAGTTATTATTTTGTTGTGGGTGAATAATTTTATAAATTTTCGTTATGCCTGTTTACACTAATATTGAATTAGCTGACATGCATTTTATGTACGGTCATGCAAATGGCAATGCATTAAAATGGGGGGAGGGCACTTTGAACATCTTATTTAAACTCTATGTTGTTATTGATTGTTTATAAATATCATTGTTTTTTTATAATAATAAAAAATTGTTATAAACACAAAATGGTCCGTATCTCCGAAACCGTTAATTTGCGGTCATATATTTATTAAGACTTTTCTGCTTATTTTGGGTCATACTATTCACCATTTCATTTTGTGACACTTTTTTTTAACACCCTGTATTGCCGGACTACCTTTTTTTATGAAATAAAAAGCTATTAAAAACAGAACAATTTTATTTCAGATACATAAATATACAAATATGATCTTTCTATTACATACCATTTGGGTTGCATGTCACGACACCTATTTTTAGAATTATTTGTGTAATGATATAGGACAGTAATCAGCAATGATTTTATAATATCTGGACAAGGCTAAAACACATTAGCTTAAGATTATCAAGAAATACTTTATTTCTAATTTGTCCGAATATAAAAAACACTAAAGGAAGCTTCTTTTGTGACATTTCGAATGTCATTTTACTATCAATGGTTACTCCTACAAACACTCTTGGTGAAGAATCTGCTCAATAGATTTATTTAGTGTTATAACTGATATTTTGTAAAGCATATTTTGGAATAAAAGACAAAATAGCTATTTGTGTATTAAGAACAGAAAGTAGCACCTTTGACAGTTGAGACAGAAAGTCTGTCGAAGAGAAAAGATTTATTTTATATTTCTTCAAAAAGGAGGAAAAATACAATATCAAAACTGTTATCTCAGTTATGTAATCATCATTTTCAGTATTTGTGTTTTTCCAACTGACCATAGCAACTGACCATTATTTTGTAATTGAGATGAAAAACCGTACGAGTCGCAGATATGTACGGTTTTTCACCTAATTTCACGGGTATAATAAGCTGTACTACATTAACAGCTAGGTATCTAGTACGGTTTTTAAGCTCAATGCGCTAGTTCAGTGTGATGTCATTTTGGTTTGACTGACATTTAA